GTTAAAAACTGAAAACAAATGGCATTCTGTATAATAAGCATTCAGCCAGAAACTCAGCCAGCCAGACACCTACAGAAACTGCTTCCCAGTTCTTCACTGGTCACTGTAATTGGTGGTTTCAGGAGGGGTGCGGGATTTTAACCCCCGCCAAAGAAGAAATTTATTTCAGCTGCTTTTCCTGTGGTATTTCACCACTTCCAACGTATTGTGTTATCGCCCCTCCCGCTTTCCTTATCCAGCTCTTTGATTGTGAGACACGTTGTATCTACCCCCCAGCAGCTGCTTGAGTCAACCACAACTTCCATGTGTTCTTGTCTGACGGTTGACCCACAATGCTCTGAATCACGGAGCCTCCAACTGCCAGTTGAGTTTGGCAGATGCAGGTGTCATGGGGGTTGTTTTTAGACACTGTTCGTTATGTAGGGGGAGAATAACGCCTGCTCAGACTCTCACAACTCACCCATGTCGGCGGCGCTCCGGCGGTGCGGGATTCATCTGCAGATCTCTGGCCTGTATGCTCGTGTCCCTCCTGCCCACCCGCCAGATACACACGCAGCCCTATAGACTCGTAGACCTGAAGGGCCCATCATGATCATCCAGTCTGATCTCCTGCACATCACAGGCCAGAGAACCTCACTCACCCACTCCTGTAACAGACCCTGAACCTCTGGCTGAGTCACTAACGTCTTCACATCATGGTTTAAAAACTTCAAGTGAGAGAGAATCCACCATTTACACTAGTTCAAACCTGCAAGTGACCCGTGCCCCAGGCTGTAGGGGAAGATGAAACCCCCCCAGGGTCTCTGCCAAGCTGAGCTGGGGGAAAATTCCTTCCTGACCCCAAATCTGGTGATCAGTTAGACCTTGAGCATGTGGGCGAGACCCACCAGACAGATGCCTAGGAAAGAATTCTCTGTAGTAACTCAGAGCCCTCCCCAGCTAGTGTCCCATCACGGGCCATTGGAGACATTTGCTACTAGCAGTCATGGATGGGTCACATACCACTGTAGGCAACCTCATCATACCCCCGCCCCCTCTTCCCCCTCCCCCATCCATAAACTTATCAAGCTCAGTCTTAAAACAAGTTATTTTGTTGTCCACGCTGCTCCCCTCAGAAGAGTGTTTCAGAACTAAACTCCTCTGGTGATTAGAAACCTTCATCTGATTTCAAAACTAAATTTATTGATGGCCAGTTTATATCCATTTTTTCTTGTGCCAACATTGGCCCTTGACTTAAATAACTCCTCTCACTCCCTGCTATTGATCTCTCTGATGTATTTATAGAACGCAATCCTATCTCCCCTCAGCCTTCGTTTGGTTAGGCTAAACAAGGCAAGCTCCTTAAATCTCCTCTCGTAAGGTAGGCCCTCCATGCCTCAGATCATCCTAGTAGCCTTTCTCTGCATCTGTTCTAGTCTGAATTCATCTTTCTTAAACATGGAAGATCACAGTATTCCAGGTGAGGTCTCACCAGTGCTTTGTATAATCAGAGAATCGTAGGACTGGAAGGGACCTCAAGAGGTCGTCTAGTCCAGTCCCCTGCACTCAAGGCAGGACTAAGTATTAACAGCAGGTTAGACAAAAGCCTGTCAGGGATGGGCAGATAATAATCTTCAATGATGGAGATTCCACAACTTTCCTAGGCAATTTATGCCAGTGCTTAACCACCCTGACAGTTAATATTGACTAATGGTACAAACACTTCCCTGTCTCTACTGGAAATATCTTGCCTAATGCACCCTAGGATTGATGGCTCATAGTCATCCTCCCTGCCCAGCTGCCTATCTCCATCTCACAAGAAATTACTCAGGCGGCTTAATCGCCTGACTGCAGAGACGTGTCCCGTTCGTGGATCGCTAGCGGAGATAGGTGCCTCCTTCCAGCCTGGACTTAGGTGCCAAACTCCCTGAGAGGGGCAGGGCTTAGGACACACCCCTTTCATTAGCATTGGCTGGAGTAGGCATCTCCCTGCCCAGCATGCTGGCTGTTGTGAATCCCATTCTACGGCGCCTACCTCTCCCCATTCAGTGTGTCGGGGAGCTGGGGAACCTAACCCAGGTGAGGTGGTTCCTGGCGCTGTTCCTGAGATTTTTCTAGGCATCTGAAAGTTAGGGGTTGTGACTCTCAGCAGCACAAAGCAACAGAGGGTCCTGTGGCACCTTTGAGACTAACAGAAGTACTGGGAGCATAAGCTTTCGTGGGTAAGAACCTCACTTCTTCAGATGCACTGGGAGCATAAGCTTTCGTGGGTAAGAACCTCACTTCTTCAGATGCACTGGGAGCATAAGCTTTCGTGGGTAAGAACCTCACTTCTTCAGATGCTTGCATTTGAAGAAGTGAGGTTCTTACCCACGAAAGCTTATGCTCCCAGTACTTCTGTTAGTCTCAAAGGTGCCACAGGACCCTCTGTTGCTTTTTACAGAATCAGACTAACACGGCTACCCCTCAGATACTTCTCAGCAGCACGATGCCCTTTGTGGGGCCAGGCCCCCCTGCCTTGAAGAGAGGAAGGATGGTCCAGTTGTTAGGATGTTAGCCTGGGACCTGCAAAACCTGGCTTTGATTCCCTGCTCCAGCACTGATACCTGGGGTGAGTCACCTGGGCCTGATCTTCATTGGTATTTACATGCCTATTTCCCATTGAAATCAATCTGGGGCGCAGTTCCCCTTCTGTAACACGGGGGTAAAAGCACTGCCCTGCCTTGTAGGGTTAAATGCATTAAAAGATTGGGGTGACTAGTGCGACGTTGCACTCCATATGATTTTATGAAAATATGCTAATGTGTGAATATGATGTAACTGAAATATGCTTCGTGCAAAAGGTCTCTTGTAAGGTATCATTACAAAGCTTATAATCTCCTGAGTGTGTGTGACGTTCCCCTCTGGTGTTGTCTGGACCGGTGATCTGCTAGGTCACTCCAGTCCTCGACTCTGGGAGCCAGCCTAGCCCTGCTCTGCTGTGAGAACCCCCACTCCTGGGCTGTTCACACACCGCCTCTGGCATGTAACTGCTCCTTGGATTGTGCAAGCGAATGACACTAGCCAATATCTCCGGTCCCAGCCCCAGCCCTAGGAACCTCCGTCTTGCAGTGTCCAGTTATACCCGCTGGACGCTGCCAGCTTATATAAATTTGTCAATTTAATAAAGAAATTGCTATGTACCAGGCTTGTTATCCCAAGGGGAGTCTCTGACACACTTCAAACCGAATGCACTGCTTCAGGTAGAATAAACAAACAGATTTATTAACTACAAAGGTAGATTTAAGTGATTATAAGTCAAAGCACAAGAAGTCAGATTTGGTCAAATAAAATAAAAGCAAAACACATTCTAAGCTGATTTTAACATTTTCATTGTCCTTACAAACTTAGACGCTTCTCACCACAGGCTGGCTGCTCTTCAGCCAGGCTCTCCCCTTTGATCAGCGCTTCAGTCAATGATGGTGGTGGTGTCTGTAGATGTAGGAGGAAGAGAGAGAGCATGGCAAAATGTCTCTCCCTTTTATCATGTCCTTTCTTCCCTCCTGGCTTTGCCCTCCCCCTTCAGAGTCAGGTGAGCATTACCTCATCACAGTTTCAAACTGACCAAAGGAAGGGGATGACTCCCTCCAGGGTCTAACAGATTATTTTGTTGCTGCCTAAGCCAGTGTCCATTGTTCCTGTGAGGCTGGGCTGGGTTTGTCCCATCCAGGCCCTGACAAGGAGTGAACTGCCTCTCTGTTCTTGGAGAGTTTTTGCATGGGTTTGCTAAGCCATGAGGATACATTTTCAGCCTCATAACTATATACATTACATTAAATTATAACCTATAACCTTAATATTTCTCCCCACTGCAGCCCCAGGGCAGCCTGCACCCCAAACCCCTCATCCCTGGCCCCACCCCAGAGCCCATAGACCCCCGCACCCCAACTGAACCCGTTACAGTGGGACCTCCTATTACTCCCATGCAGAATCTGCTGGAGGAGCAGGCTCTGGGTGTTGTCACTGGTATTACAGGAGTGCCTAGAGGCCTTACGCTTTAGACTCATAGAAATGGAGGACTGGAAGGGACCTGGAGAGGTCATCCAGTGCAGTCCCCTGTGCTGAGACAGAGCCAAGTAAACCTAGACTGTCCCTGACAGCCGTTTGTCCAGCCTGTTCTTAAAAGCTCCAATGACGGGGATTCCACAACCCCCCTTGGGAGTTTTTCTAGAGCTGAACTGGCCTTAGAGTTAGAAAGTTTTCCCTAATATGGAATCTAAATCTCCCTTGCTGCAGATTAAAGCCCATCACTTCTCGTCCTAGCTTCAGTGGCCGTGGAGAACAATTGATCCCTGTTCTCTGTATAACAGCCCTGCACGTGGTTTAAGACAAAGAACATCAGCACGTTTTGCATAGTCAGTTACAGCCTCAGCTTAATCCCGTCCCTGCCCTCACCAGCCCGGCCGTGTTCTGTGGGTGTTGCAGCAGATCTGAGTCAAAAGGAAGGTATTGTAGGGATTTTCTGTTTTTTCCCGGGGACATTTTATACCTCAATGAGGGGGGAGCCTGGAGACATTTGCAGAGGGAAGAGGCTGGATATCACTGGCAGAGCAATGGCGGTGTCCCTGGTATGATAAAATAGCAGGTTGGCTAGGAAGTGAGGGGCAAAAGGGTGAAGAACTGTGACAGGGCTAAGCAGAAAACTGCTTCTCCAGCTCCAATGAAGGGGGGTGAATGGAGCTGGGTAGAGCACCTGGCCCTGATTGGGGAAGCTCTAACAGCTGCTGCCCCATCAGGCTGGGGCTGGCTAAGAGCCCAGGGGAAGAAGCCAGGAGGGAAGCTGGAAAGAGGAAAGGCAGTGAGGGGAAGCAGAGAGAGCGCTTGGCCCCTCTCTCCTGCCGGGGGACTGCGAGAAGGGGACCACGCGTATGGTGATAGGTGATGGGAGCACAGCCTGTAACAGCCTGTAAGTAAAAGCACCAGGTGGGCACTGCACCTGAAGGTCTCTGGGTGACTTTCTCAGCCCAGCGGGGGCAGGAGCCAGGAGGGCCCTGCAGTGACGCTGTGACAGGAACCTTAAAGGCTTAGAGGAGAAGCTTGTGTCTAACGCTGTAGAGGAGCGGGAGCCAGTGGGAGAGGCCAGAGAGGCGTCTAGGTTGGCAGGGTAACAATCTCTAAGGGTAACCGTCACTGGAGGTTTTTAGGAACAGGTTAGACAGACGCCTGTCAGGGCTGGTCAAGGTTTACTTGGTCCTGCCACAGCGCAAGGGGCTGGATTTGATGAGCTCTCGAGGTCCTGTCCAGCCCGACATTGCTGGGACTCTGTTCTCAGCAGCCACGTTGTGAATGAAGTGGAGAAGGGGTGAGCTCTGTTCTCTGTGTGTGTGTCTGTGTGAGAGAGGTGGGGGATGGAGGGAGTGAGGCAGGGGGGAGACAGTGGAGGAGCGAGTGTAAAGAATATTGATATCAATATGAAAGACACTTTATGCTGCCAGAGTAAACATTTATATTTAGTACCCAGACCAGTGTGTGCACTGAAAACAAAACCCCATCAAAACAAAACGCTCCCCAGCGCGCCCTGTTCTGTTCTCCTGCGGGGCCGGGATGAGAGAGGGAACGAATCCCGTGTCACTGACAGGTGCTCATGTCGTGCAGCAATGAGGAGAGGAGAAGAATAGAATTTATATGGCAATGTCTGGAGATTTGTTGGGATCAGAGCCCCTTTGCCTTGGGAGTTTTACAGACAGAGCTTGCAGCCTGAATAGACACAAAACAGACCAGGAGCTGGGGCCTTGGCTAGAACATGCAAGTGAAAATAGTGAAGAATGGAATAGCTTTCTAGTGATGTGGTTGGTTGTGATTGGCTGCAGTCTCACACGTGTGTGTTACTTACCTAGTTAACAGAGAGTCCTGTGGCACCTTTAAGACTAACAGATGTATTGGAGCATAAGCTTTCGTGGGTGAATGCCCACTTCGTCAGACGCAAGTGACGAAGTGGGCATTCACCCACGAAAGGTTATGCTCCAATACATCTGTTAGTTTTAAAGGTGCCACAGGACCCTCTGTTGCTTCTTACAGATCCAGACTAACACGGCTACCCCTCTGATACTTGTTACCTAGTTAAGTTTAATGCCACAGCTGCTGTCTGGTTTGTTTTTACCCCTAACAGTTTTAGTTTCATTCTACTTATAGGATACGAAAGTTCCCCAGTTAATTCTGTGTGACAGGCCCGGCTCTGTGTTTAATCACAATCCGAGGGCCAGGGGGCATAAATTTAGGGCTACACATGCCCCTCAATGCACAGCGAGGTTCCCGCTAGTGTCAGTAGCAAGGCGATGAAGGGGAAAATCTGTTCTTGATGAAATAGCAGAATTCTGAGTTATAATTTCTGTGGTTGCCTGTTCTGCCTCACTCACTTGTGTGTGGGTGCCAGGCAGTTTATCCCTCCACCGCCCATGGAAAAGTGATTACAATTTTTTTCCCCATGTCGACAAGGCCTTAATCACAAGGCCACCCTCTGACTCCAATAAGGCCTCAAGGGCATCAGCTGCTACCCTGGATACAAGGAGGCTCTGTTCCCCCTCCTTAGCTCCGCTGTGCGGGAAGAAAGGCTATTGGGTGCTGGGCTCTTTGGAAAATCCGACCTCCATGGGGTGGGTTCACTTTCTTTGCAGCTGCAGCCCGTTGCTGACTCACTCAATTTGTAACCCACTCGCACCCCCAGCTCCGTTTCAGCAGTACAGCCCCCGAGCCAGCTAGTCCCCAGGTTGTAGCTGTGCATCTGATTTTTTCCTTCCCGTGTGCAGTATTTTGTGCTTGTCTTTACTGAATTTCATCTTGTTGAATTCAGACCATTTCTCCGATTTGTGAAGGTCATTTTGAATTCTCATCCAGCCTCCAAAGTACTTGTGATCCTCCCAGTGTGGTGTCAGCTGCAAATTTTACAGGCACGCTCTCCACTCAATCATCCAAGTCATTCATGGAAATAATGAATTGTACCTGAGACAGGACCCTACTGGACCCCACTAGATCGATGTAGACATTCCTGCACTGAAACTCGGTGAGGAGGGTGGGTCTCCGAGCCCGGGCGGCAATGTTTGCATGGCACTTTTTAGCGCCATAGCACAAGCCCGAGGCTCTAGTCCCGGGCTCTGAGACTCGCTGCCGTGGGTGTTGTTTTGCAGTGCAGACGTAGGTCATTACTGAGCGCCTGGAACCTGCCCACTTTGCAGTGACAACGCAGGCGAAATCATCTCGGAACTGTTAGCAATTATTTTCAAGAACTCCTGGAAGGTGGGTGAGGTCCTATAGGAATGGAGCAGGGCAAACATAGGACCTACCTTTAAAAAGGGAAGAAAGAGGAACCAGGGAATTCTAGACCAGTCAGTCTAACTGATTTCCGTTATAGCCCTGCCTAGAGGTCTCATTGTGTTGGTGCATGCACAGATGTTACTAGACCATTCTGTCCCGCGGGAGTCCATGGGTGCTGAAGGAGATAGAAACAGGAAGGGGGTATCCTGTCTGCAACAGCCCTTCAGAGTGCCTGTGGTCCTCCCAGCTTGGTGTCAGGTGCACATTTTACAAGCGTGCTCTCCACTCCATTATCCAAGTCATTCGTGGATATAATGAATTGCTCCTGAGACAGGACCTGCTGGACCTCACTAGACACTTCCTCCCAGTTTGGCAGCGAACCAGTGAAAAGCACCCTGTGCGAACAGTCTGTCACCCAGTTGGGCACCAACCTCATAGCAATCTCATCTAGACCACGCTTCCCTAGCTTGCTTATGACTGTCATGTGGGACCATGTCAGAAGCCTTACTAACACGCTCCCATGACTGGAAGTGGAAATTAGTCAAATTCAGGCTGGAAATAAGACGTATATTTTGAACAGGGAAGGGAATTAACCAGTGGAACAGCTTACACAGAGTTAGTGGAATGATTTTTGGGACACGTCTCTGGCTTGGAGAGAAGCGCCTCCAGTCTGTCTCCATCCTGCGTTTGTATCAGTTTACATTTTGGAGGGGGAAGGGGGAGAGTTGCTAATTAAAGCCCAGTTCTGCAAATAGACACCTCCACTGAAGCAGCAGGCACTCAATTGGCATTTCCATTGTTTGCAATATAACCCTGCCTAGGGGCGCCATTGTGTGGGTGCCAGATGGTACCTGCCCCACCCGACCCACAGGCTCAAATCGTAGCAACAGTCGAGAGGCAGGCAAACAAGTCCTGACAACAATGTAGCAACCGGTGACTGAAACAGATGGCGTGAGTGCAATGAGCATGATTTAGGTAGCCGGTGATCGTCACAGCTTGTCCCTTGCCTAGTAACGGTGCCGAGCTCTGCAGTATCTCTTGAGGGGACAGAGCTGGGGGCACAGAGAACCCCTGCCGGGGGGTTAGTGATGGTAATCTAGTAGTTACCCCTGTTTATTAGCCTGAGGTAGAATTTGGGGTTCGTTTGCCTGTTTGACTTTTGATATGCTTACGTACTCACTAACACGGGTGAACAAAGACTCTGTGTGTTGCATCTGCCCGTGGCCAGGTGGGGTTTATAACACATGATGAGACAAGAGAAGGAAGAGAGTGAAAGTCTCGTTGGGGATGGTGGGAGTTTGACGTACGAGCGGACACCTGCTCGACTCCTCTCCCAAGCCAAGGTCAAGCTACCAGTCGGGAGTGGAGGGAGGGGTGTGTGGGTGGGTGGGGGGGATAAGAAAGGCTAAAAGCCAAAGAAACGGTGACCCTGCCTGGCCCAAACACACCCTCACTCCTTACCCTGGAAGGTGGGTGAGGTCCCATAGGAATGGAGAAGGGCCAACATAGGACCTACCTTTAAAAAGGGAAAGAATGTGGACCCAGGGAATTATAGACCAGTCAGTCTAACTTCGATCCCTGGAAAGGGACTAGAACAAATGATTAAACAATCAATGTGTAAGCCCCTAGACTAGAGAATAACAGGGTAATAAGTAATAGTCAACATGGATTTGTCAAAAAAAACCCATACTAAACCAACCTAATTTCCTTCTTTTAACAGGGTCACTGACCTAGTGGAGAAGCAGGAGACGTGATATATCTTGATTTTAGTATGGCATTTGACATAGTCCCACGTGACATTCTCACAAGCAAACTGCGGAATGTGGTCTAGATGAAATTACTATAAGGTGGGTGAACAACTGGTTGAAAGACTGAACTCAGAGTAGTTATCAGTGGTTTGCTGTCCAGCTGAGAGGACTTTAGAGAAGAGCAACAAAAGTGATAAAAGGTTTAGAAAACCCGACTTAGCCAGGATGGGTAAGGAATGGTGTCCCTAGCCTCTGTTTGTCAGAGGGTGGATGGAGATGGATGGCAGGTGAGAGATCACTTGATCATACTTGTTAGGTTCACTCCCTCTGGGGCACCTGGCATTGGCCACTGTCGGTAGACAGGATACTGGGCTGGATGGACCTTTGGTCTGACCCAGCATGGCCGTTCTTATGTTCCTATGACTTATGGCAGTGGTCCCCAACCTTTCCGTGGGGCAGGCGCCAGACGACTAGACGCTGAGGAGCACGGTCGCCAGACAAGCAGCCGCCGAAATGCCGCCGAGAAGTGGCAACGCCAAGAAGCATCGCCGCCGAAATGCCACCAACAAGCAGTGTCATCAAGAGGTGTCGCTGCCGAAATGCAGCTGAAAATTGGCGATATTTCGGCGGCGACGCCTCTTGACGTTGCCGCTTCTTGGCGGCATTTCGGCGACAGCTTGTCCGGCACCGCATTGGGGATCCCTGACTTATGGGGAAAGTATGAAAGAATTGGACATGTTTAATTGTGAGAAGAGAAGGCTGAGGGGGGACCTGATAACAGCCTGCAAATACGTTAAGGGCTGTTATCAAGAGGACCGTGATCAATTGTTCTCCATGGCCACTGATGGTAGGACGAGAAGTAAGGGGCTGAATCTGCAGCAAGGGAGATTCAGGTTCGATATTAGGAAAAAATATAAGTCTCAGGGAAGTTAAGCTCTGGAACAGGCTTCCAGGGGAGGTTGTGGAACCCCCGTCACTGGAGGTGTTTAAGACCAAGTTGGACAAACACCTGTCAGGGATGGTCTAGGTTTACTTGGTCGTGCTCAGCGCAGGGGGCTGGACTTGATGACCTGTGAGATCCCTTCCCGCCCAACATTTTTCAGATCCTATGTTTGATGAACTGGTTCTTTGAGGAGCTCAGGGGCAATTTGCCTCCTCGGATATTTGCTTTTAAGCCTTGTCAATCCGAAATATTTGTTGGCTGAAAATGGGGTCAGCCCCGGCTCGGGCTGCCGTTCCACCCTGGCTCAGTAAATGCGCATCAAGTAACAATGGCTCCAAAGCTAAAAGCCTCCAAGGCCCATCGACGTGAGAGACTCAAGTTCAATTAAAGGTCTCGCTTCACCAATCCCACCTGAAAACGTCTGGGTGAAAGGAAACTAGGTCCATGAAGTGGGAGTGAGGTGAAAGTTCTAGCATTTAGGAACTGTGATTGTAACAAAGGTCAAGTCAGCCACACCTTCCTCATTAAACCCAGCACCAGACTTTCAGATGAAGTGCCTCAGCTGAGCTCCGTTATGTGTCATCTGCCACCTCTCCTGCACGAACAGCTGTTGTTACTTTACTGGTTGTATTATTACTGTGGGGTCTAGAGGCCCTAACTGAGACCAGGACCCCACTGTGCTGGGCACAGAACAGCCACACACACTCAGAGGCAGGAAGCTTGCAAGTGAAATGCACCAGAAAGAAAGGGGCAAGCGGGGAAACTGAGTCACGGAGCAGGGACTTGCCCAAGGTCACCTAGGAAAGCAGTGGCAGAGCTGCATACAGATTTGAGCTCTCCTGAGTCCCAGCATGATACCCTCGATACTTAGGGTGACCAGATGTCCTGATTTTATAGGGATAGTCCTGATATTTGGGGCTTTTTCTTATATAGGTTCCTATTACCTCTCACCCTCTGTCATGATTTTTCACACTTGCTGTCTGGTCACCCTATCGCTACTTAGACCATCCTGTCCTGCAGGAGTCCATGGGTGCTGAAGTAGATAGAAACAGGAAGGGGGCATCCTGTCTGCACCAGCCAGAAAGGAGGGGAGCTGCGAAGGAGGCTGTTCAACCAATCCTGGAAGCAGGGCTGGCTCTAGGCACCAGCGCTCCAAGCATGTGCTTGGGGAAGCACTTTCCAAGGGGCAGCACTCCAGCCCCTCCTCCCCCCGCACTTTGTTGTTGTTGCTTGGGGCGCACAAAACCGGGGATGATGCTCCGGCTCTCCAGCGGCCGGGCAGCCTGACCTGCAGCCCAGCCTGGGGGTGAGGAGCCGGGGAGGGGGGAGGGAAGTGGGGCCCGGGAGGCAGGGCCGGGGGAGGGGTCCTGCTGCCGCTGCTGCTCTGAGTCTCCCCAGGGCGGCGCGGCGTTTCCCTGCCCGAGGGGGCTGTGCAGGCGCCGCCGGGCTGGGCAGGGGGCGGATCCCGGCTCGCGCGCTGACAGGGCGAGTGGCTGGGCAGCCCGAGCTGCCAGGGAGCTGCCGCCGTCCCCTCCTGCCCCCGGACACAGCCCGCCGCGCACCTCCCCTGTCTCAGCCCCGTGCTGCCTGCCCTGGGTGGGGAGAGGCAGAGCCCAGCTCCGAGCAGGGCAGCGGGGGATACTGCCCCCGCCTCCCCGCAGCTCGGGCACCTGGGGGTCAGTGTCTGTCTTCTCGGCTCTGCCCGCACGGGGCTGGGGAAGCAGCTGTCAGCGCCTGCCCCTCTCAGCCCTTGCACCCCCCATCCCGCTCGCAGCCCCTCCACTTGTACCTCCCCCCATCACTCCTTCGCTGCACCCCTTCCCCTTGTACTCTCCCTTCACCCGCACCTCTCCCCTTGTACCCTCCCCCAGCCCTCTCCTCCCACACATCCCCCCTTGCCCTGCACCTCTTCTCCCGCAACCCTCCTGATAACCCCTCTCCTCCTCCACCCTCCTCCGCGAGTACATCACACCCCGCCTCTCTGCCAGTGTAGAGCCGCCAAGCGCCCCCACACCCGCTCCTCTGCCTGAACCCTCTTTACTAGCTCCCCATCCCTTTCCGGGTACAGGGTTTGAGGGTTAGTCCCTACGCCTTCCATGTGCATTTGGAGCACTAAAGATGGGGTTGCGGGGGATGGAGGGTTGAGATTTATACTAAAGTGAAATAAAAATAGGAGAAACGGTTTGATCCCCACTGCAAGTGTAAATGGGGATTGCTGTGGTGAACAAGGAGGTCATGTTTGGGGGGGGAGCCCAGGGCTAGGGCTGCAGGGGGTGCAGATGGGTGGGGGAAGAGAGAGCCCAGGGCTGGGGGTGGCAGGGGGTGTGGGTGAGGGATGGCACTGGTGGGAGGGGGGGAGAGCCCAGGGCTGGCGGGGGGCAGACAAAAATTTTTTTGCTTGGGGCGGCAAAAAACCTAGAGCCGGCCCTGCCTGGAAGAGGAGGATAGACCTTGCCTTTGCTTTTAGCTCCCCCTTCCTTTAACCCCTGGAGTTCTGACAAGTAGAAGGCACAAGGGGAGATGTGGGGGGTGTCAGCACAGGGATCAGAGCCCAGGCAGTGGGGCTGCAAGGCCTAAAGCCACCGGTGGATCTCCCTTATTCTTGGCTGCTCCAGGGATGTTAGTGGAAGTTAGAGCAGCCCCAGGGTGACTCTAATTTGCAGCAGCCTTGCAGAGTCATGCTCACTCCTAGTCCTAGCTGCACCCCCAGCAGGCCTCTATGCTGGGCACTGTGTAGGAGGGGGGCACAGGGCTTCTGAGTAAGTCCAGTGGCATAAGGAGCTCGAGGGGGGGTGGGGAGAGAATCCACCACACTGTCATGGCTCCTCATCCTTCTGGAGGGGTGGTTTAGCCTTCCCCAAACTCGTGTCTAACTCTCACAATCCAACCCCTTCCGCAGGGCTTGTCTACACGGGGGAATGGACTGGAATAGCTCCCGGGGGCCGAGCTGTTCCGGAATAGTTCCCCTTGTTCCAGAAGTGAATGAAGCTGAACCAGAATGAGGTGATCTTATTTCAGAATGAGAGCGCCCGCCCTGGGAGTTATTCCAGAATAGCTCTGGCCCTTTAATGTCTCTCCCTGTCTTACTCCGGAATCACTTCTTCAGGTAGCCCAGGCCTCAGACGGGAGCCCAGCAACTGCTGTCACCTGGGTAACGCTGCTCTGGGGATCACAGGCCTTTTCCTGTTTGCTGCCTGCAGAGAAAGCCGGGCTAAATAAGCACTGTGGCTGGAGAGGCCATGCTGGGCAGCCTCAGGGAAGTCCCTGGCGTGGAGCAGACAAAAGCAGAACCAACAGAAGGAAGCTGAGGCTGGGAAAAGTCAGGCTGCAGAAACAGTACCTGTTTTCAATCAATCAATCATTGGGACAGCTCGCCAAGGCCGAGGTGGTTCCCATGGCAGGCAAAACCAGTAAACCGAGATTAGCTATCTTCCTGAAACACGCTCTGTTTAACACGTAACTGTTCTGGATGCCGGACGTGCTGCGGGGGAGGGTCTCTGGCCTGTGGTAGATGAGATTATTTTAACAGGCCCTGCTGGCCTTTGACCTGGGGAAAGAACTTGATTTTCAGCGTCCCTGATACTCGGCTGTTTCTGCGAATTTGGCCCTTTTCAATGACTGACTGTCGTCCGCGCTGCGGGCACGGCTGATGCTGCAGCGTTGTTCCCGCTCACAGCGCAGCGTGTTCGGTCAGTGTGTGATTCGTAAGGCCCTGGGCTCGGTTCAGTTGTGAAGGCGCTCGGCCAAACCGCGGTGCTAGCATCCCGTAGGAGCCACAAGGACACTAACACATGTATACCCGGGACAATGGTACCGGCTCAGTCAGCGCACCAGGGTCCTGTCCCCTAGATCAGCAAAAAGTCACCCCTCCTCTGGCATCTCCTCTTTAGGCATTGATAGAGACGTTGTTAGTTACACCCTTGTCCTTGTACCTTCCAGCTCTGCCGAAACATCCTTATCTGTTATTCTGTCATCCCCTCCTTGTCGTACGAGGGGTCAGTGTGTTCCTGCACCATCTCTTGGGAATGTGCTGACGTGTTCTCTTGAGAGAGCTGCGTGTTTTTGTACCATCCTCTCCGCTCAGGATATGCTCACTTGGTGTTAGCTAAAACGTATTTTGCCAAGGTCAGGCCTACTTTGGTTCACACTGTTACTA